CATATCGAGAGGCTAAATAGACTTTTTTGCAGGCATACTAATTTATCTCGGGCAGGCTGGTAAAAAAAGCCAAGGTATCCTTATCATTCCGCTATTTAAAACTTCAATCATATGGCCCATGTTTTCCGTAACCTAAAATCCATTGGAGTGTCGATAACAATTTTTTTGAATGAAGACTTTGTTCTGCCTTGAGTCTCCATTCTCCACTTCACTTCACATTCCTGTCAATAGACAGCATGTTTAGTGAAATGGGAATCAGAACCGACCGCTTCACCATCCTTGAAAGTCCAGGCGCAGATGGACGCGCTGTGCTACTCGCCGTCGCAGTATTGCCACCACGTCGGCGCTTTTGTGGAAGCTGAATCGAGTCCGTTTCGGCAACGATCGATTGGTCTCCATTGCGATCGACACTATCGTTTTTGCATTAAGCTGTTCCATGAACTGGTTCACTTCTCATACCTGCATCCTTCTGAATGCCCTATGAATTCTACCCGATTCTTGAATTTAATTGAAAGCATTCTCCATTTCTGTGTTCACTTACTTGATGCTTCTGAAATCTGTTAGAAACAACAAGCTTAGCTATCGACTCACTTTTCAGCTGTGCTGGATAGTTCACGACATAAAGATAAAGGCTAGATTTTGGCACGTCTTCAGGTTTTTTTACAAGGTTAGAAATTCACATACATATATCGGAGTTGGAATTTCGTCATATGCGTTAGGGATGTTTGGCAAAGCAGCATCTGCATAGGTGACTTCTAGCGATTCATTTGCATTTCGTATAGTAGTAATCACATCGTACATAGCGTTACAAACAACGACGTGTTACTAGTGCGAATGCCATCCTTACTACTTATTCACTATAAATGAACATACTCAAAGCAGATTCAGGGAATTTTGTGGAAGCTAAAGGTCTACACTTTCCGCTTCAAAACCCTTGAGTTCGCTATGTTCATAGAGCTAGTCTTGAATAGAATACATTGACCTGTGATCATTCAGAGTATGATTTAAAAATGTATGTATTCTGTAAAAGGCTGGGATTTATAGAATCTTCTCCACGATTCACTGAAGCGCATTTCATTTTGTATGCATCCGTTTGAGGATCACATTGAGGATCAAAGAGAAGTCGGAGTTCCAACCTTTGTCTACGGTCTAAATTCCTGCATTCCTCTGCACAAATCATAAAGGATAACAGGATAAAGCTTCTCGGGTTCATCGATCACCGAGACACGAGCCATCCATTCGAGTTCATTGAACATCGTTAAAGGTGTTTGAATGCATATGTTGACTCGAGGTGGCCTATCGATGCATCGAGTCTGTGCTGCTATCTCCCTAGACAACTCTGGTGCCTATTTGCCGACCGTGGAGGGACGAAAAGGTTGGCGAACCTTGGGAGCATGATCGTGCAACCACGTATGCATTGCAGGGCTTCCCTAACCGCTACACTACAAGCGCATACGTGCTCATCGTCGAAAATTCAGACCAGCCATATAGCGTGATGCAAGATCAACACAGGAGCAACACCCTTACGAAGGCTCAAAGAATGAGCAAGAGTGGAAAAAGAATTTGCGAATTTCAATAAGTTTCCTACTAACTCAACTTTTTACTCGACCTGTTACATCATTCTCGATCGGTCGGTTGACCAATTGCGGGAGTCGGTCTTTATATAAAAGATTTTTAATCACAAGTTAGCAAATCTCTCCCTTATCTGTGACCCTGTGGCTACTTATGGCGAATATCACTGAACTCTAGAGCGGCCATCTCAGGATTCCAAGAAAACCCACGCCCGCTCAGCACTCAGTGACCACGATTAGGACGGATCCTCGAGTCGCTGCTATGCCTAAATACGAGTCTTCCCATCTTTATAGATTCAAGAACGCAAAAATATCAAGACGAAGGAGGTGATGCAATACTGCTCCTCGTGTGAGAACAGACCACCTAAGCAGGAGCTAAGTGTTCTTTAGATTATTAACAAAATAACGCATTTAATTGGCAATTTTCGAAGCTCAATTCGTAGGAATTTTAGTTTTATTTTTCAAGAAATGATCCGCTCATTGGTAAGCTGTCAGTGTCATGTCACTCATATCCCTGTTTCAATTCTGTTTTTTCAGGCATTTCTTTCTCTTTTTCTTGCCTTAAATTTCGTTCAGAACTGATTTCTTTGAACGATTCACGATTTTCAGATGTCCAAAAAGAAGATAGGTCTTGAAGTGCCCCCAGTCTCACGGCCGTTGCACTTGAATCTACACGAACTGGACTATACACCACCGATACGCTCCAGTCCTGCATATTTAGTGGGACCAATTTCATCTCAGTAATACTTTTTACTAGTTTCGTCTACAATTGTGTAGCTTTAACGACCTTTAGTACCTAGCTACAATGATGCTGAGATATATGCAAAACTCCGGACCACAGATATCTGCGGTGGGGATCGAACTCGACATTACCCTCTCCTGAGGTAACGGCGTTCACCACCACATCATGCGGGTCCTTCGTTTCGCCTGTCTTTCGGCTAGTTTTCTACCCACCATTGCCATCAGCAATCACCCATCAGCGAGTTTGATCTGGGGAGCATAAAACGACATTGAACCAAGTCAAGCTGAAGCTGTAGTACAGTTCACAGTCCAATCACTTCTTATTTACTGCGTATTCTTTTTCATGGTATGATATGAATTATAACTACAATGATGATGAGATATTTACAACCAAACCGCAGATTTCTGCGGTGGGGATCGAACTCGCTACTTCTTTACCAGGGGCTAACGCGTTCAACAACCTATGTTGCTAAAATACTTTTTTGATATGTATTTTTTCATAGATAGGCTAAGAAAACACTTAGATGGAATGTCGAAAACTCGACGAAGTACCTCTCTAGGTACACATAGGCCACAAACGCACAACAGTGACGTTTTTAAAGCGGTAGTCATAATCTTGGGGCAGGAATCAAAAACTTTGGCGTACAAAACCCCTGCGGCTCTTTGAATGAACTTCAAGGATCCAAAAATGAATTGAAAGGGAGAGTGTCTTACTATCATATCATACGTCGTATGGTGCCTCAGATTTATCTGATCTGGGTGAGATAGATTGCCCATAGAGTGGGAACAACAGACGATTGAGCTTACACCACCTGACAATTTGAACGGTGGAGTTTTCTTAGTGGGTAGAATTTTAGATTGATTTTTGAAATAGATTTTCATTAGAATTAGGAAATTTCGAACGAATAATAAAGTATGGTATGGTACAGCACGTTTAAGCTCTGAATAATGCAAAATCGCCGAGATGTCAGCCATCGTTTTTGAAAAAAGAAGATATGCAGCTTGTAAGATGTTACTGTTATTCATGCGGAGGTTAAGTGAAAGTCGGTTTTTCGGTTTAATGCGAGGTTCTCTTACCAAATCGATTTCCGGTTAATTCCGGGTGTTCAATTAATATACTTCCATGGTTTGCTCAGCTAAGATGAGGCGGATAGAAAAATACTTTATTCGGCTTTTTTTCGGCTAGAGTTTCGGTTCTTTAGCATTCTTTAGAGCCGTATTGATCTGAGTCCATCGCCCACAGTTGTTCCTCTTTCCGATGTGGGTCTTCGTGGTCTCATCGAGACGAATCCCGTGGACTATGGCTTGAATGAAGTAATCTCAGTCGACACTGCTCTTCTATACAGGACGATTGCTGTTGATAGTGATTATCCGTTGATAATCGTTTGCTCTTCCTCGAACAATCCATCGTTCACCAGTCAGTGTCATTATCAGGTAGCACACAGCGTAACAATATTTCAATAACCGGGCTTTTCTTTAATCCCAGCATGACCAGTAATCTTTTTCTCAAATTTCCTTCGCTTTTTTTGATTTTGTCTATAAAGAAATGACTGGATCTAAATTTTCGCGTGGCCATCTTATTGAGTTCTGCAAAAAATTCTTGTTGCATAGCAAAACATAAAGTGTCTTCAGACAGCACTTTAAGATCAAAGCTTTGTAAAGCTGCTTCTTTCAAGAAGAGGAATTACACACTTATGAAGAGATGGTACGAAACGCCCACATTCTGAATTGAGCTGGCTTATTCTTTAGAATACTGAAAAAGTTTTTGAACATGGAATTTATAAAACAATTGGAGAGTCTTGATACGCCAATTTCTCACAAAAGACCATGCTTTTACCTACATATTGCTAAAGATTAATTCAATATCCACACCTAATTTCGATTCAAACCTCCGCAATAACTGCAATGACGCTGAGATATTTGGAAAACTTCGGACTGCACGTGTCTGGGATGGAGATCGAAAGCGCTATCTCCCTTTCCGGTGGCTAATGCGTTCACCATAACACCATGCGGGTCCCTTCGTTACACCTTTCTCTTAGTTGTTTTATAGGTGGATTCCGGAAAAGGACTAGAATACTGCTAACATCCTCTAACTTCATTTCGATTTTCCATAAATTCCAGTCCACCCTAGCCCTCCTAGTGTCAATTGTATCCATGCATTACACTTTACAAAGCCTCTAAAATAATTCATCGTTGCATACCTCTTTCAAACTGTGACAATATTGAGGGAAACTAATGCTGAGAACTGTTCTCGATCTCTGGAGCATTTGCTTCTTATTTTACAACTGGTTCCGCTTCTTTCCATGATTTCTGAGTTTCATGCTTCTCTGCTAGTTTTCTAGCAGTTCGTACCTTGTGTATGATTCTTTCCGGGAGGCTTTCTTAAGAAGCTCGTGGATCGTTCGCTGCACTAAGTGGGTCTTTGCCTTCTATTTGAACAAGTGAGTCATGACTGCCTTATCAGTCACGATAAAGCTTCCACGTCATGTTCTCCTCACCAGATGTTCTCGAGCAAAAATGTCAGGTAGTTTTTCCATCATTATAAGATAATCTGGATGAATTTGTCAGTTTTTACAATAGTGTATTCAAGTAATACGGAATAACGTCTCCTGGAGAGAAAAGACAAATAATGATTTTTACCTCGGTAAGGACTGATCCTACTTAAAAATCAATGAACTCATTATCATATTGTTCATTAAGTGTTCCATAAATCTGCCTCGCTTCCAGGACCATTCGCCAGGCCTCAGTCAAAAGATCAAAATACCGAAGAAGAGGTACTCTTATGCTGATCCCTTACAGCGCATGGATACGCCGGTGTTTGACAAGGTGCCAAATTTTTTGCAACTTGAATTTTTGTGCAATTTCTTTAATGAGACGATCCTGGCTGTGAATTTCTCTCCAAGTGCAAGACTTTTCAACTTTGTTTTACACATGGAAACGATGAGAAAAAGCAAAACGTTCACTAAGGAAGGAGTACGTGTTGGTGAAGACGCCGGTGATGGTAACTTCACGAAGAGTTTGAAAGTGGTGCACTGAAAAAAATGGAAACAGGATGTAGAAGATCCTACGAAATTGACAACGAGAATCCGATTAGAGGTGCAGTAGAACAAGAAAGTGAAGCAAGAACAAAAAGGTGATAACTGATAACTGGTTTGGCTATGAGGTTAAGCAATGAAATGATTTCGTATGCGTTTAGAATCTAGAGTACACAACTAATATTTGTGGACGGCACCCCCGAACACTTAAGTCGTTCTTAGGCAGGTGAGCTAAAGGTTGTAGTGCAACGCATAAATCCAGTATTCATTGTTCGCTGCCTTCGACAGACGCCTCATTCAGATCTCTTAGAATAAAACGCGTAGCCTGTGTGGCTTAGCTATAAGACGATTATGAATTCACCTCCTATGCAACTCAACAAAAGGAAATAATCCTGTTAAAAATTCCACCTATCTGAACTAGATGTCTCTTCTGTAACAGGCCAACCACCTGCTGTCGTTTGCATGACTAATGATCGAAATTCTAACTGGGATGTGCATTCACGATATTCCCATAGGTCCAGAAACATCTAGGAACACCCTTTCAGTACTAAAAATAGAAATTTCAACTTTCGACCATTAATGGGAAAAGTGTGGAACCGGAACCGTCAATGTTCGATCAAAAAATACCTGCTATGAAGTTGTTCTCGTTTCAGAATGAAGTCAGTCATGTCAAGAAAGGTCCTTCTTCTGCTGCAACCGTACTGACAATGGCCGGCCTATTCGTTGTTGGAATATTATTGATGATGAGCGGAATTATTGTTCTGTTAGAGGTAAGACCTTCTTTTTTATTTAAATCAGACTTTCTCTGAGTGATTTAAAACTGTTCATCTACTTCTTTTTTCGTCCCCACAAATTTGCATCCGTCGTCCCTAGTGCTAAATTCTTATGTCAAAATCTTTCTGTATAGGATTTCTTAGATGGAAAATTTCTTACTTGCAATGCTAAGTAATGAGATGGAGTTCCAATATGAGCTATCAGATACATACGAGGCGAAATGCCAGCTAGTAGTTAGACAGCTAAACTGCTATTGAGGCCTGCCAAAAAACACATTCTAGCTTCTATTCTAGGTTGGCCAGTGTTCCTACTTGTTTCGTTCCGCAGATGTACATATGTAAATGTGTAAATTGCATATGTATTAAGCGTTGTGCACATATATATTATATGTATATATATATATATATATATATATATATATATATATATAAAGCCATCCATATAAACAAACATATCATTATCGTAAAGGATAATGAGGTCAGAAAAGAGGAGTGCGGATACAACAGCGATCAGAAGTGCGCCTGGATGAGCGGAAGAGGGAGAAGAGTGTTGGAATGGGAAGGACCAAAGGGACGACATCGGTCAATATCTTCGAAGGCCGAAACAGTAGATTCTTCTCCTACCCATCTTTCACCCTGATTTTAAAACAAAATTTTCCCGAACCTGAACGCAAGTTACCTATTCTTCTCGATGTTTGGAAACCTTATGAGTGATCTTATGTACAATTCGCGTTAAAATGTTTATAGTTCACAGGTTTTCTTTATTTGAGGACTGTAGCAGATTAATCAACATTCTGAATGATACCCATATAGTGAATCGTAGAGCAGCGGGAGACAAAAACTACCAATTCCTTGCCATGTGACGAAGACCGATGCTTGTGGTAGGTTTTCTCTGTCAGCTCCGCCAGACTGACTTTTGGTTTCCGTAAACACTCAATCTTTTACGCAAACCTGTGTAAATGTTGTTGAACGCACTGCATAGCCAAAAAGATGAGACAACTGGTATGTTAACTGGAGGCGACTATGCGTTCCCTTCAACGATTAACTTCTACCTCCTGTAGGAACGCTTCGCGTCCTTCTGTCAGTATGCCCAGTCACGTATGGTAGAAACTGTTAAACTACTCCTGAGCACTGTTATTCTTCAGTGAACAAAGACGAGGTTGGTACAACAGCATTTACTAGCACGCAAGAGCCAACGTCTCGGCGTTTCATCTTCCTCACATTTCACACCTCTGTTATACTCTGTGCGAGTGCTCTCCACCAATTAAGTGGGAGACTTATAACGAGTAAAAAGGCTTTCAATAAGGGAAAACCGCCGAAGCATTAGCTATTGTTTGCTAATAAATGCAATAATACCGTCCTCGTTTTGCTCATTGAAGATAAACAGCGAATTATTATGATCAATGCCGAGGATAACTGAAAGTCTGTCCTGGGATTTGCTACGTGAAATATACCTGAGTAGCCTCTCAGCAAAAAATGAAAAACAAAGGTCTGCCGTAGAAGCTGTGAAGCTTTTCATCTCACTCGAACATAAGAATTCAATGGACGGTTCTCACTCTCGACCAGGTCGAATAGATATTGTTCCAGTGGTGCCCGATAAAGTTTCTGGGTGACTATCGAGATTACGGCATAACGTTGTACATGTCGCAATATCAATTTCATTCATTTTTCCTTCTCTTGGTATAAAAGCGATGAAAGAGGAGAAAAAAAAGCCAACAGTGAGAGGCTGTATCTATTATCGATGCTTTACTACCCTCCGGGGTTGAGAAATTGGTACAAGACATGTATAGGAAAAGTTCATTCGCTGTAACCCAAGTAAGAACGCTCTACGCTGTTATCTCTGGACTTTAGCGAGGATCATCTCGATCAGCATTCAACGACAATCCTGACGAAAGGGAAGCCAAGTAGCAGCAGAACCTACATGCAAAAGTTGGAAGACATGATGGACGATGGGAAACGAATCAAACGGAAGAAGTGCTGGGATCCGCAAAGTTGATGCGGAATGGCCACAATTCTTAGGAAAAGATCCTCATTTACGCTGAACAGGAGAATTCGGAGGCTCGGATCGTCATCACAATTGGAGAGGAGCAATTTATGAAAAAAAAAACTTCCTTTAGCTATGCACTTTTCAGTGAGCTGGTAAGATATCTAGTGGTTGAGTGTTCGATGGCTTTCATTGGACAGCTGACATTAACAGCACAGCCGTTTATTTTAAAGGAATGGTGGTGCGTTTCGTAGTGATCATCGACAGTCCCCAAACCTCTGGTGTGAACAGTGTGGCTATTTCGGCGATATTATGGAGGCAAGTGGTGCGAGTGGTATAGGCAACGTAAGGAGAAGAGAGATCCCGTCGGGTCTAGATCTCGACGATTATCGCCGTCATATTCTATCCGTCCTGTCTTCCGTCCACTTAGCGGCCCAGTCTCCTCATCTCGATATGACAAAGAGAGAAATCATCACCACAACACGCTATTCACCAGTTAAAATATTCCCGGTGTCCAGTTGCAAGATCACGAAACGCAACCGAATTAGAAGCCGCATTCATTTCAATGACACCGCTACGAACTAGAAGAGCGGATGCTCATGGATGTGCCAGAAGTACATCAGAGCCTTTGCTTGAGAGCAACTCTGAACGGGATCTGTGTTTTCGACGATAAATTTCTAAGTTCCATGGATGTTTATCGTGGATTTGCAGCTGGTGAAGGTCCCTTTTTCCGCACATAGTCTCTAAATTTCATTAGATTTTTCGACCTGGTAAAAACTCGACGAAGTCCCAAGCGTTCTTAAGCAAGTCGAGTTCTTTACCATCTTCACTGTTCCTTCATAATTCTGTCAGCAGCGATCAAAATCCTGCTCGTAGACATGTTCAGCGGCTTTTTCGCGCTGCTCTAGTTCGAGGACGTCTTCAAACATTGCTGTTTGATTCAAAAATTAATAGTGTCGTTGTCATCAATGGCTGAAGCTCGCTCTCACCAGGTGTATTGTGTTCTTAGTTTTCCATCTTATCGAACTTCGCTTTTTCATATTTACGTGGAAAGAAACTAGCGGCCACTCAACACAAAAGAATGCTAATCCAAGTTGTAGAACAATTTGGAATTACAGTGTACATCGTCGTCGTCGTTGTGTAAGAATTGGGATTGCGCATAGAATACTAGATATTAATTGAATAAATACTGATCTTATGTTAAATACTTTCTCTCTAATAATTTAACACTTCATCGTGAGCGACGTGCCTAAGTGCAACCTACGACGGAGGTTCCACCGGAGTAGAATCTCCCAAGCCGAGAAGAAGTTCGAAATTTCTATCCGGAGCACTAAACATGGACAAAGGCATATCACAACGTAGCCCAATGATGACATAACTCTCCCTTCACCACAAACAAGAGCTCACTAATTCTGTTATATGTACGAAACTTCACTGGTGAACGCTAGCCATAAAATTCTTGCTCTCTATGAAAGAGATATCCAGCAGTGGTATCCAAAAATAATTTAAAACCTGCTGACAATTTGCATTTTATTTATTATTACCTTACCGGAAGAGAAACTAAACATTGATTAGTGCGATACAGACGATCTTAAGAACGACAATAATAATCACAATAATAATAATAATAATAATAATAATAGCACCAGTAATAATAAAGGAAAAAATAATTATAACAATAAACGATAGAGCTTTCGCCGTTGATCAATCTCTGAGGGATGCGCCACGCGTTCGACATCATTAAATATCGTTCGGAGGTGATTGAATGCATATCTGGCCTTTACAGTGGGTCGCGGTGGCCTACCGATGTATCGAGCTAGTGCTGCTATCCTCCCAGACAAGTCTGGTACCAATTTGCCGACACCAGAGGGATGGAAGGCTTCATAGCTCAGGGGCGCGTGGATCGATTCCGTGTGCGCGTCGCAATGGCGCCTCCAACCACTCCGCAACACGCGCCCTTTTTAATGATAACAATACAAAACTAAATAAAATTGCTAACAGGTCACTCCAAAAAGATCTCAAAGTGATCCGTGATGGTACCTTCGAGTATTTCGGAAGCAGTACTGAATATGAATTACGGGTACCTTATCAATAGGAATAGAAAGAGATAAAGGTTTTTTGGTGGTCTTTAAAATACCGGTTTTCTTAGGACTACTGCTAAATTGATTTGAGTATTTTAGTGATAAAACTAATCATTACATCTCGAGTAAATACGTTCAAGTGTTATATTTTTATGGAATCTTCGTTTGCAGCACACGGAGACCCCGTTCATTATTACTGGTTGTATGTTTCTGGGCGTCGGTTTCGCAATGTTGCTGGTCTGTGCGGTCCTGCAACGAAAAAACATTGTGAAATTCGTTTTGGATCTCAATAGCGACCTCTACTTCTTGAACATGAACAAAAGCTACATGTGGAAGGTGATGTTTGAGAATCGTGCTGAGTTGCCGTTATCGGAATGATAAGACGATAAGACGAGTGCTTCGAACGATCCGCATTGCGATTCGGGGACTTCGACACGCATCCATGCCTAGGGTACAAGCTCGTTAATCACTGAAACCTTATGTCGTTATCGGGCAAGATATGATATTCCGGGTCCTCGGCTTTATTTGTTTGCTGATTCGGGTAAAATTCCGCAAACTAGAGTAACAATGTCCATGTTTTCCTTTTTCGATTTTAAACATCTTCTGTGTGGAACACTAGTGTAGTCTCCTTGCTCACCTTTGGAATAAGGTTTACCGCAGCAATTTCGTATTGCCGTAATCACAATTCGAATATATCCTTCTTTATGTCAAAGAGACTTCGATAGAACCGGCGGTTATTGCGTCCAGCGTCAGCCTACAGTAAGCCCGACTCCGTGTTTTTGGTGTAGTGCAGAGACCTTTCGGCAATATGTGTTTATTTTATGTTGTATTTAAAAACTGAATACATAAAGATTGTTATGTATGTCTATGGACAAAAGAAAAGACACAATTGAAGGCTAGTGAAAATCAAAAGAAAAACTCGAAAAGTTTTTAAAGCTAGGACGAGAGAGCTATTTCATGAAAATTACACTCTTTAAACAAAAGTGCTTTGACATTTTCCTGAAAAATCACTGAACTACTACTCGGTAAAGTCATCCAAGCTGAGTTTGATAGTCTCATCCGAGACCATAACTAAGAGCGAACTTAGGTGGTGGAAGAGCCCAGCATTCAAACGGTTATTAGCTTCTCGTCATTAACAGCTGAATCAAAAGCCTTGTAGCATAAGAGTGCTGCTCTTTGTATCTCGAAGACGAACAGAACTCAATGATTATCTCTACTGAGTCAACAAAAGTTCAACATTAATCACTGGAGTACTCGGTGAATATTGGTGAAAGGGTGATTTCATATTGATATGCGCCAAGCTTAGGTGTGGGTAAACAACGTCAAATAAAACTCTAGCTTTTCAGGTTGAAATACAATAAATTGTGATCGCATCAAAAGGGCTCTATATAAAACAAGCGGGCAATAGAGGCCCTGCCTTATTCATATAAAAATATATCCGACCATTCCAATGCACAGAATTAATTGGTGTTCACAAAATTGGAAAGTAAAAAACGTTCGCCAACACTATTGTATCATAATCGTTTTTCTTCTTCGGTGTGTAGTCGTGCTACACTTTCTTTATGGAGTATTCGGCTTCGCTAGCATAAATCTAAGGAAGAATAATCGGGACATCTGTGACTTCAACAGATGTGGATCCGAGAATGATAAAGAAATTCGAGGCGGAGGCGGCAATCCCGAGCGCCGCCCCAATCGGGAAAGGAGACAGTGGGATCGAGTCGGTGCCTACAAAAGGCCCCTACTTGATCTCAAAGCGACGCAGTCCGCCATGGAGTCCGACGGGCGCACCAAGGCCTACAAATTCGTCGCTTATGCGGCGGTTTCCTTTTCGATTATCGCTGTGCTTTCTGTAGTTCTGACACTACCCATGGTTTATAATTATGTAAGTCATGTCCGGCGTCAAATGCAGCACGAGATATCATTCTGCAAAGTGAGTAAAAACATTATCATTTCCACTCAATCTCTTTAACTCCAGATTTATGAACAACTTTAGGCCAATATTTTAGGGATCGGCCAAGGACATCTTTAATGAAGTAAATTACATGAAAGCCAATGCCGCTTCGGCTGCTTCGCGTAACCGCACATCTCGCCAGTCAGGCTATCCGACTGGCTACGCGCCCGAAGTAAACCCAGCACCTAATATTCAATGTGAAAGTTGCTGCCTGCCTGGACCACCAGGACCACCCGGAGCACCTGGGAAGCCAGGAAGGCCCGGACGGCCAGGAGCACCAGGAACCCCAGGATTACCCGGAAAGCCACCAGTTCCTCCTTGTGAGCCCACCACTCCACCACCATGTAAACCTTGCCCACAAGGTCCACCTGGACCACCTGGACCACCCGGAGCCCCCGGCGACCCAGGAGAGGCTGGAACACCAGGACGCCCCGGTACCGATGCTGCGCCAGGATCACCCGGACCTAGAGGTCCTCCTGGTCCCCCAGGAGAACCTGGTCCGCCTGGACCTGCCGGGGAACCTGGAGTACCTGCCCAAAGCGAGCCACTCTCTCCAGGAGCACCCGGAGAACCAGGAGACCCAGGTAATTTTTTTTGAAAATTTTCACTGTTTAATCTAAAACCACAATTTCACGAATTCGTATTAAATTTCATCTATTTAGGACCAACCGGACCACCTGGCCCTCCTGGTGCACCAGGAAAAGACGGGCTACCTGGTCCTGCTGGACCTAAAGGAGCACCTGGACCCGATGGACCACCTGGAGTCGATGGACAAAGAGGACCACCAGGAGCCCCTGGCCCTGCCGGTACTCCAGGTGAAAAGGGGATCTGCCCCAAGTATTGTGCCATCGACGGTGGTGTCTTCTTCGAGGACGGAACACGGCGCTAAAGCTTTTGGATCAGGGAGACACGGTAGTCGATTTCGAATTTTATCGTGTCGTTATCACGTGTTCACTGTTGTACGTATTCATTATGGTGCAATCAACGTAATTTATATGAATAATAAAAAGCTTACTCGAAGGCTCAAATAAGAAGAAATTCCTAAGTTAGTAGTAATAAAACATGGTCAATATTGACGGAAACAGCTCGAAAGACCGACTTTCTATAAACCTCGGCATAGATAGTTGATATATTTATTTATATGATCTTGTAAACTGATCTTCTTAAGCTGACGCTAGGTTGGTACAGGTCTTCGTTGTCGTTGTCGTTGTTTTTGATGTTGTTGATCGATGGCTGACGTTTCGGCGAGTTCGCCTTCCTCAGAGTCGTGATGTTACGTGTGGGACTGTCCCAAGACCTGTACCACAAACAACGAAGACCTGTATCAACCTCGCGTCAGCTTAAGAAGATCAGTTTATAAGATCATGTAAATAAATATATTGACGGAAATACTTCAAATTGTCAACGAAGCTTGCAGGATCACAGGTGCATTTTAAAGTTCGCGCGTTGAGATAAAGTCACCACCATACTAAAAGGAAATTTATGATACCTATACGAATGTGCCCTGATAATCTTATTACAGTTAGAAATGTTTAGACGTAAGTTTTCAAATGGTGCTAAATTGTAATCTAGTCAAGATACCGTTCTAAGCATATTTCTACCACTGTAAAATGACTATCTAAAAAATGACTAAAAATGACGTAAAAAAGTAAAGTAAAAGTAAAAGTAAAAAATGACTTCTTTCAGTCTCTTTTACCACCCATCTGTTTTGGAGCAGAAACTTATGAAGCCGACAATTTGATAAAGAGCACATCATCATTTTCTGTCGGCGGAATAAAAAGTACTATTGAAAATATTGAAAAATATTTTTGGTTGCGAACTTCATTCCACCACTTTCTTTTTGCGCTTTCTTGGAACTCCTGAAGTAGAACATAATTTGTCTTCATAAATGTCGCGAAAACAACCTCGAGATCTTCTCCGAAATGATGACGATGGTACTAGAGATAACGAATAACGATCTCCTATGACAAATCCCCCATACTCACACGCTACTCAAAGTAACGTCAAGTTTATTAGGACAAATCGGTTAACCTTAGGTTTGGAAGCAGCATAGGTGGAGCCGGAGCGCTCTCACCAGATTCGACTAGGGTTAGTGGTCAAGTCGTCGGCGGTGAATAATTATTTTGAGTATGTGATTGAACCATGAATTCGTTTTCGGAGATAGCTATTCCAGATAGTAATGGTTACGACTTGATACACATCTAACTACACCAAAACAATATCGGATACTGCTACAGAAAACTGTTACTGAAATAGAAACTGCCTTTTCTTTCATTTCAAGGTCAGAATGGGATTGAAATCTAAAACCATTCTGTTACAAAATTTGGCCATAAGAAGCTCCAAAATGGGTGCTTGAAACGCGAGTACCATCGAGGAAATGTTCTTCTCCCAGATAATCAGAAATCTTAAATATTGCGCTAAATATATTCAAATCTTTCTGAAAGGGAGAAGGGAGTGTAGCGAAGTGGGTAGTGACGCAGTCAACTATGTAGCAAGGCACTCCACTCCCCAAATCTCCTCCATTCCACATTTGAATGCGTCATTTCGCCTATCTTAAAGACTGCAAGGAGAAACGACTTGAGCAGCATTCTATGATATCAGAAGAAAAACGAAATCCTCAAGAATCCGGAACAGCATGTGTAATAACCGAAAACCTTCGTGGATGATGAATACGACGAAAACGAATCGAATGCAAAAAGTGCTTGGATCTGCACAGTAGGAATGGCGATGAATAATGCAATAAAAATAGCAGAAAAATATCATCCTGAAGGAAAAGGAATAAATCCCAATGACAAGCTACGACAGAGCTATAAGTTCCAACCAAGGAAAATTCAAGAATATTTGACATTTCCTTGTCATAAAATATCAAGTTTTCCGTCTATGGAAGCGAGGAAAGTGGAAATGTATCCAGTTATATTGAGACTTGTATTATCAGTAGTCTCATTCACCGTTGAGTGTCGACAGCTAACGCCATATTAGTAGCTCTGTAGATTCTATGTCAGAGTTCGCACTAACCTCTTACCAAACCATGGACGCGAGGGCGTCATACTTTCTCTTTAAGATCCTAAAGAAAACCGATAAACATCGTGTTGGTAATGTCTTCGTGCTCACTGAACATCATGTTATCCAACCCGTTCTTGAATTCTTCACAAGTTATTTTATGATACTGCATGAGTGCGTCGAATGTTGACACCAAAAGGATAGCCAGACAACGAGGACATTTAGTTTACCTGCACAAAATGATTTTAGAAGCGCCAAAAATGGTGTGCCCTTACTTTCACTTGCCCATGCCATGTTACTGAGACGGAGTTGTATTTCCAAAATCATTTTATGTCGACAATGGCGTTATTGAAAAAAGCGAAAGCCTGGTTTTGATCCTTCAGTGCAGCTTACGAAAAACCCTTCGACACTGGGGAGGGGTTTGAAGGCTTTGAGAACCTCTCCAGAAGTCTTTCTGAAGTCGTTGAAAACAGCGTTCTCTTGCTCACGCGCACTTCGAAATATTTCGAAACAATAACAACACACTAACACGGGCTGTTGCACCGAATTCTTTAACAACTTTAAACGTGTGGCCAATCCGCCCTTCTGATGTTCCCATTTCGTCTTCCTCACTGGGGTAGCATTTCAAACGTTGAATTTGTGCAGTGGCGAATTTACGATGCTTAGAATTGGAGTAGTAGACGAACTTACCACTGGATTGATTATTCCAATAAATTTCTGTCATTGCTGTACAGTAAGCCATAGAACCATCCAGTCAGCACTTTCAAACTTTTCAACTGGTTATGCCGGTAAATTATCGGTGTACATAAATTCTGAGAGCAATGTCAATGCCCTCCGATTGGATCTGTTTCATCGCATGTTCAGAAGCTCTATGTGTAATACCAGTTCGTTAGTTCTTGACGTTCATATGATTTATGGATCAGTTTCAGCACAATGGAAGAACAAATAGTTCTACAACATTCCTGGCAATGACCTTCTCAATGATGAGAGTACCATCAGCGCTCACTAGCTCAATGATTTATTCTTGAACACCGCTTTCTAAAAGTCCAGATACCATAATCAACACTTATACATAAAGAAATTCGAACAGGCTTTCACTCTGTCCATCTCGCTTTAATTCGTGACCAGTGATTTCGACTTCTCAACGTGCTTAATTTTGACATAGCTTAATGTTAAGTCGTAGATGACGACATTACAGAACGCATGTCTTCCTCTCTCTTTTTAACAAAGAACGTCTCATTCGAAGTTCTTATGGCCTCGAAAAAATCGATATCAGAAATCATAGAAGAATTGCCGAAGATATTAGCATTGTGAAATGCTATGTAGGGATTAGTACTAAATTCTCTATGAATAATCTAAGTAGACTCCACTCCAGACCCATCAAGCCTCTCATCCCTCCGGGGTCGCGAAATTTCTACTGGACTTGTCCAGTAACGATGTACTCCCTCCAGTCCAAGAGGGAACGTTCTAGACCGGCTGCCAGGGGACTCTAGGGAGAATCAGCTCACACTCAACCATATTTATAACGAAGACAGAAGTCCTTAAGGAGCAACCGCATCCACAGTGAAAAAAAAAATTGAAGACATATGTGAACCGGTGGGTACGAGGAAACGAACTGTATGCAAGAAGTGCTGGGATGCGCAAAACGTGACATATGGTGAGGTCAGATCAGTTAATAAATGAAATAATCAGAAACGTCACACACGAAAATTGTTATTATTCGTTACTTCCACATTGTAAGATCTTATCTACGACACCCGGCTTGTTCTGGGTCGCGAAAACGAGGGCATTCAAAATTAATAGTTTCGCACATAAAATGTCCACTGATTTATTAATATTTTCTTCCGTGAGGTCTTAGATGAACCTACATGGGATTGATTGAATGTGACGGAAAAACTAACAATTGGGGATAACATGAATGAATCAAACACTACGCATCCAAACACCCCAACTCTTGGACTAGCTTGATTTCCACAAACTCAGTTACCTTTCAGTTAGGCTTAGACCTACTCAGTACCAGAAAACGAGCCATGTTATTAACAAGTAAATAATCTGATTAAATCCTTCAAATGAAGCAGATTAGCGTCACCATGAATGAACTACTAACAACGCTGAACTCATCAGTCAACAGTCAACCATAATCGGCAAATCGTTGAATATCTCACCCAGGTTTCAACAAAATTTTCATTTATTCTTGATGCGTGTCAGAACGGCTCACTTAGCTCCGCACGTATAAGGGACACGAAGAACACCAAACACAAAGTGCGATGCTTTTCATCTGTACTCTTTTCGTCGAAAAGGTAAGCATAGATGACTCGCTGAGTTACGTTGTGGAGTAGCTGGAGCTTCCGAATGAAAATATCGAATTCCAGAGTTTGCGTGACCCTACTGAGGAGGAACCTCCATTGCACGCTCTAGTTAGGCATCCAGGAGCACACGCAGTCACGATGACGGGACGGGTAAGCCACTCAGACTTTATAAATACACAATAGTGATAGGAAATAAGTTGGATGATTACTTATGCCACTAGTCGATAGAACTAGCTGAGAGGCACGAGAACCGGAGGACCAGCATGGTTTGGTGGTCATCGCGTTAGCTCCCGGAAAGGGTAATACCGTGTTCGTTACCTACCGCAGACCTGCAGTCCGGAGTTTTGCAAATATCTCAGCATCATTGTGGTTGTATTTCGCATCATACCCTGCCATGAAAAATTAGAGTAGGCGGCAAATAAAAAATTAGCATTGTGATTTCAACTACAGCCTCACCTTAACTGGGTTCGATGCCGATTTGGGCTCCCCAGGTCGTTGACGGGTGATGGCTGATGGCATTGATCGATAGAACTAGCTGAGAGGCATGCTAAACGAAGGACCCACATGGTGTGGTGGCGAACGCGTCAGCTGGACACGTAATGCGAATGAACAACAACTGATGGACGAGAGCGGTTAGTAACTGGATTCTTCGGGATGTTAAAAGCCCTGCAGGAAGACCACCGACCCGATGGTCAGAGTTCTTCATGAAAAGCCTATAAGAAAGATGTGGTGCTCAACGAGCCCCTACAGCGAGCAGAGCTCACTTAGTTACTCTTGCACGCAATATGGAAAAATGGAAGATTTACTGCGGCCCGCTCGAGTCACTAGACGATCAATGGGATTACAGGTGATACAGATGACAGGTTTCTCTGGAATTCCGGGATAGTGGTGGATCCTGGCATTGGTTTACTCTCAGCTGAGCTTCTTGGTGGAAACGCTGAACTCCTCAGCTTGGGAGACACCGCCGGAGGAGACGAATCCACCCGGTGTAGATCTCAGTCTGACATCCAGGAACATCTCCCAGCCACGATGAGGCGGTAGAGCGTTAGGACGCCTGGAAGTCAACTATGTGTAATTTTATAACATAACGGTGATGAACATCTGCTACGTTGGAAAACCGACGCCTATGGTGCTCCGTCTTCGTGTTAGAGAACAAAAAAATCATAAACCGTTCCTCAGCATGAAAATTACCACGAGGCTTACGTGCAGAACACCGCAACTGAACACACGCCTAAGTGCAAATATCTGGGAGGGAGGAAGGGGGGGGGGGGGGGGGGGGGGNGGGGGGGGGGGGGGGGGGGGGGGGGGGGGGGGGGGGGGGGAAAGAGTGAAGACTAATTTTTGCTAAGGCTGAGTAAGAGAGGTGTAAAACAGGTAAAATATCCTCATGGAAAGGCATATCAAGAGATATGGAGGTGTATTAAGGTGTAATACGCTGAACAAAAAGAAATGGAAGATACAGAATAACTCAGTGGGAAGAATCGATGGAGCGTTGCAAAGCTATGACTAAACGTTACTATCTTCTTGAAGAGCTCTATTTCTTAAGTGTAAATATTAACACGACCGGAGACTGGACAGTTCCAAATGGCTTTCCGTCCATGAATTTTTACTCTCAACGCCAGCAAGGCTTCGCAATACTTCTCTTTAAACGCTTTAGTTAAAATCTCTTGCCTTGGGTCTTACCATCGTTCAAAATCGCGAAACAAGCAGAAGAAATCGTGAAAATAGAGTTGACGAGACTACAGAGACAATGCGGAAGCTTACGTTTTAAACGACCCGTTTGTTGTCACTATGTACGTCGTTGCAAAGAAATATTAACGTGATTTTTAATCTTCGTAGGGGCTTGCACTTTTGGCGAACTTCTGTTTGAAGTTTCCTAGTGGATTTTATATTCTGAATTGTAGGAATTGCACGCAAGTCAGTGCTGCTTTCGCCTAAAGCAAAAAACTACTGCTTAGTGTTATTTTTTTGTGGCTCCGGCATTCTCGTCAGTGTGACGGAGCAGAGTGGTCGTTCAGCCTTGCTGCTCTCTTCTTGCTATTATCAAGTACATCTGGCTGAAAACAGCTTTTCTAAGAATCGTTGTGACATAAGACAAAGACCTAGATTGATATTGTTCCTTATGTTATCGCTTTGGTATTGGTCATGTTGCAGATCTTCATTCTATTGTTTATTTCAAATTTTGCAGTATTAGACGTCGTCTTGGAGAGATTACTTTAGGCGTGGTATTTTCTGCCTTTTTTCTGTTTTTCTTTTGTAGAAATGAGTCAGACACTGTTTGGCTTCAACAAATCGCGCATCATTATGGCCGCCGGACTGGCAGGTGCTGCTTTCATAGGATATTGTATTTATTTCGATTATGCTCGAAGATCGGCCCCAGATTACAAGGAGAAAATTCGACAAAGTAGGCTTTACTTCTTATTTACTCAGGTTGGCGAAGATTGCCTGGTTTCTTCTCAGTTGTGGTTTTGCATCTTTATAGTCGTGCGGTATTGGTATTGGACCACCACACTATGCCAATACCAGGATCCACCGCTGTCTTCGTATCAAAGTCGCATGGTGGTAAATCTCCCTCTGGTCCACAAGTGGTGCGCCCGCCTGTGATGTCCCAGGGACTACAATGGCTTAACCAGCAAATCTCCGAAAAATGGTGATTATGCTGGAGCCCGCACTACTAGTGATGAGGGGCCGTTCAAGTATCGAGTATCAAGTAAGTATAGTTCCGTGAGCCTACCAACGGTTTACCGCCTCATCGTGGCTGGGTGGTGTTCCTGGGTATCGGGCTGCGATGTACAGCGGTGGGATTCATCACGCTGGCAGTGTCTCCCAAGCTGAGAAGGAGTTCGGCGATTCTATCAGGAAGCCCAGCTAAGAGCAAACCAATACCAGGATCCGCCACCGTTCTGGTATCAATCTAGTCGCATGACTGCAAATTTCCCTCTGATCCACAAAGGCTACGACTTCCTGTGGTGGTGATGACCTGGAGCACACTTTGGCCAGACAGCAAAACTCCGAAAAATGGAGATTATGCTGGGTCTCGCGCAATTAGTGAGGATGTGGGGTCAAAGTATCCAAGTAAGTAACTGTAGTTCTATGAGATCCTTGATAATTAAAAATGGGGTGAATTGTAAGTTCACTGTTTCTCCGATTTCATTTAAATGATGAGGTGTCTTCAGGTTTTCTGATTGTTCGTTCGGGAAAGACTCAAGGGGTAGTTTTCCTACTTATTTGTTCCCGAAGATGAACGTCCGATGTTGTAGGAAATGTGGAAATTTTAGGTAAACGATATGTCTTAGAAGATGTACATCACTAATCTTCACGGTATTTTATTATCTGTGTTCAACAACGGAGCAGTGGTCTGTGGTACTCTGCAATACACACGTGGGATCGATTCCCGCGCCCATGGCTCACCAAGCCTTCCACCCATCCAGTGTGGGCCAATTGGTACCAAACTTGTCTGAGAAGATAGCAACACTGGCTCGATACATCGGTGGGCCACCGCGAGTCACTTTAAAGGCCAGATATGCATTCAATCACCTCCAACGATGCTTAATGAAGTCGAATGTATGATGCATCCCTCAGGAGTTGGTCAACGCCGAGAGCTTTGTCCCTTATCCTTTATGTTCAACAACTGTTTTTACTGACTTGTTAGCGATCTTTACACTTTTTGTTTCACTGTTGTCCTCCAGATTCTGTTGTTTAGTAGTTCCACTTCAGTAGCTTGCTGAAATTTATGTGAAAGGCTCATATTTCATGCAAAATTTAATGAAAATGTAATTCAGACCGTCGTGAGAAGGCCAGGGCTCGTGGTGGAGGTGCAGCAGCAGGTCGGAGCGGCGCTGTTTCCTCGCAACTACCTGATCCTTCGGATTCGGCGTCTATGCAGGCGTACTTCTTACAAGAAGTACAACTTGGAGAGGAGTTCATGGCTAGTGGTTAGTGTGTTGAATTTTTCGGCTTGAGCTTTATCTGAGTGAAGTAGAGGTGCAAAGGTCTATACGAATAACATTTGAAAAGTTGTTTAATTGTGAAGCCGTACTGGACAGTGGAAGTCGAAACCCGTAGATTCTATTCAATATGGTGGAAATCGTTGATTGCCTTGTCGAACCAGCAGGACGGTGTATGGAATAACACAATGTTTTGCTCACGGCCATCTTCATTCTTGAAAGGATTTTTCATCTAAGATACTTTGGTCAACATCGATAAAATTAATCTTGGTTCCTTGTGAATGTTCGTGGGACATCTTAAAGAACCTTGAACCTTAACACCTCGTGTTTCCTGAACAATAATACAAAGAAATATCTCAAAGAGTGAGTTGAATCTCACGAAGACCTAACAATCTTTCCTGCACTTTTCCATTCTTCGTTCTGTTGTTAAAAACATATACCATCGTTCTTTGCAGCTAATACAGTAGCCTTTGGCGGTGTAATAAGAGAAGTGGTTCCATAGTTGACTATAAAATGAATTTCAGTGAATATGACATAGACGGTCTTTTTTACAAGGATTTCATTGGCGTTTTGTGTAGGTACTTCTACCTCACTTGTAAATACTTTGTTCTCCAAAAAAGGACTTCATGCGGTCTAGAACGGTTTTTCCATTCTTTTTTATACTATCCGTTCACCACAACTACTGTGTGGATTCCAGCAGTTCTTACATTCGATTCGTTTCCTCTCATCCGTTCTCTACTAAGGTCTTCTAAATTCTTGTATGTGGCTTCGGTTGCTGCTTGAAGATTTTCCTTTCATAATGAATGTCGCTGAATGCTGATTTAGCCGATTCTCTCTGCAGTCCTGAGATGGCTGAGCTAGACCGTTCCTACTTGGATTGCAGAGAATGAACCTTTTATAGAGTACTTTTGTATCAATTTCTCGACCCAAAAGGGATAAACGGCTTGTTGGGCCCGAGACTGGACCGGATAAGCACCGTGCTCGAAATGATGTTCGGCATTACTACCACACCGTTACCCGCCGTCCTACAATTATTTTGCTGCAATCAATTGTTTACGCTTCATTTTTTTTTGTCGTTGGTTTTATGAAAGGGGGCAACGATCTTCGAACAATGATCATCATTGCTTACTAACTTACTGTGATACTTCGACGGCCCATTTCACGAATGGTGTGAGCTGCAGGCTTAATTCAGTTGAACGCATGGCACATTCATCAAGGATTCGTCAACGCCGAAAGCCTTATCCTTTACGTCTTTATCATTTCTTCATGAATGACACTGGTCCCATCATTAGCGTACATTCTGGCCTCAAGAAGAGCGTGAAGATTGGCGTCTAACGAGACTGTTCCAGAATTAGGCTAGTTTCCTTTCATCGGTTGGGTCATTTCCTGGCGTTGTAGATGGGAACACCTAATGAATGCGATATTAAAACTGGTTTTTTGCTTTTGGGCAATTTGTTATTTTTTGATTCCTGACGTTTTGCCACAATGTTCTTAGGTTAACATTACAAGGTGTTGCTAACTTTTATGGTTCGGAGAGAAGCTTTGTGTAGGTAGCGATTCTTGCAACCAATCGTCTTATCACTTGTTTCCAACATGATATTAGGTTGGATATACGTGTGCATATGGAGGTAAAAAGTCTATCATCTGTTCACGGCCGGTTTAACACGCTGAATCCACTGAGCAACATAATGTTTACAGAAACCTTATTGGGTGATTTTTTGACATTGATTTCTTTTTCAGGCAATGTTGAAGAAGGCGCAATACATATAGCAAACGCCATCGCGCTTTGCGGGCCATCGCAGCAGCTGTTACAAATATTCCAACAGACGTTGCCTGCTGAACAATACGCAGCAGTCATTGAACAGTTGCCACATACTCGTGCGGTAAGCATTGTTTTTTGCCTAAGGTGATAGGATTTGTCTTGTATTAGACGGGTACGGACGAATTATTTACCTTTTTTGCTTACTGAATGTGGAGATAGTTTCCTGTTTTATTTGCTAAATCGGAGTAGAATCGTTGGTCAGCTACTGTCCTCTTGGTAATTCTGATTGTATAACTCATCTAGCTACGGCTGTGCGGAATGCGTTTGTTCGGCTCATCTAATGCAGGTCGTGTTGCGTCAGTAACTCTAGTTGATCAGTGACAAACTGATTTCTACGGTCAGTTAGTTGTGGTCATTGATTCTAGATGTCGTAAATCTCTAATCTCAATTGCGAGTAGAACAACAGATGTAGTGCCTTTTAAACAACTGTGAAAACACTTCCTATTAATCAGATATTGCTTGGATGCGTGCTTAGATGGCCCGTCGTTACTAGTTATGCGGGCTCTAGCATATTCTCGATTAATCGGAGTTTTGCTGGTTCAGCTATTGTGGTTCTCTGGAATTCCGAGGCCAACCTCGCCAAAGTCTGCTCCCGGTCGTCGCCACTAGAGGTAGTCGCCGTCCTTCTGGATCAGAAGGAGATTTGCCACCATGAGACTAGTTTAGTATGAGGACGATGACGGATCCTAGTACTGCGCTTATTCTTAGATGGGCTTTCTGATGAAGGTGCCGGACTCCTGAGGTTGGGACACCGTGCCAGGAGGTTGAATCCCCTGTCATACTGCGCATCCCGATACCTAGGAACATCTCCTAGCCACGATGAGTTGGTAAACCGTTGTCAAGTAATCAGATATTGGATCCGGATTTAATGAACGCCTAATTTCTATGAGTTTTTTTTACGAGTTGATGTCTTTCACATCAACCACAACGTTGCTGAGATATTTGCAAAACTCTGGACCGCAGGTGTCTATGGTGGGGAACGAACGCGCTATTATCCTTTCCGGGGAGTAACGCGTTCACCACCACACCATGCGGGTCCTTCGCCTTGGATGTATCTCAGCTAGTTCTATCGATCTTTTTTGCCACAGCAATCACCCGTCAGCGGGGTTGATCTGGGGCGCCCAAATCGGCATAGAACCCAGTTAAGCTGCGGCTGTAGTTGAAATCACAATGTTATACCTTTTTATTTTACCTTTGCTGTGGCAAAAGATCGATAGAAATAGCTGAGAGACAGGCGAAACAAAGGACCCGCATGGTGTGGTGGTGAGCGCGTTACTCCCCGGAAAGGACAATAGCGCGTTCGTTCCCCACCATAGACATCTGCGGTCCAGAGTTTTGCAAATATCTTAGCAACGTTGTGGTTGTGTTTCGCTTAATACCCTGCCGCAAATTATAGTAGGCAGAAAATAATTCCTTTCAATAATAATTCAATAGAGAAAGTCCAGATTTTTGATATTACCTTACTGGTTTCTTCTGTTGCTCTACAGAAGTGTAACATATCATCGCGCGAATGAGAAGAACAAAACTTGTGAACGGACCAGTTCTACAAATGTTCTTTTTTCTCCAAAGTGTCGCCCTGCTGTAACAAATGTGATAAGATTTTTCTAGCTTGGCTGTAATCGATTTTCACAACGCATTCGGCTTTTCTTCTCCATTTATAGCAGTGTTGCGAAGAAGTGCATACCATGGGAATGAGTGCAACGTATTTTTTCCAGTCTTTTTTCTTCGATGTTTGAATCACTTGCTACTGTGATATTTAACCTTTTCTTTCAGACGCAGAAGTAGACTCAACGAGTGTTTTTTTTATTGATCGGTTAATACGAAGTTGACTAGAAAGAAATTTATTCCGTTGTTTCGGTGCCTCCGTCTTCTCCAGAGCCGGCCCGATCCGAGTCGATTGTCCAAAGTTGTTCCTTACTTCATTGGTGTCGTCGTGATCGCACCAAGTCGAGTTCAACGAAAAACTACCTGATCGAAGTGACTTCACTCGGCAGTGGTCACCTTTTATTCACAACCTGTTCTCTTTCGTGGCTGGGTAAATGTTTGATAGCACCTATAGGTTAAAACAGGGCTGACAGAAAGGTAAAAGAAAGGACCAGCATGCTGTGGTGGTGAACACGTTAGACCCTGAAAGGGTAGTGGCCGGTTCAATCCTTACCACAGACACCTACGCCCCGGAGTTCTGCGAATATCTCAGCATTGTTGTGGTTATATTTCACATCACTTTCTGCCATGAAAAAGTAAGGAGTACATAAAAAGTGACTACATTGTTTTATAGTATAGCTTCAGCTTAACTGGACCCAGCACCTGCCGATTAGTGCCGTCCAGGTAAATCCACATTGATGAATGATTGCTGATAGCACCTATAGGTTAAAAGACGGCTTACAGAAAGACGGAACGGACCTGCATGGTGTGAACACGTTAGACACGGAAAGTGTAATAGCAGGTCTGATCCTAACGCAGACACCTGCGGTACGGAGTTTTGCACATATCTCACCATCGTTGTGGTTAGATTTCACTTGACATTGTTTTTTTAGACAGGACGGTTGTTGCTGATATTGGTTATCCGTTAACCATCGTTTGTTCTTCTTGGGACAATCCATCGTGCGGCAGTCGGTATCAATGTCAGCTAGCGCAAAGCAATATTTCATAAACCGTCTTTCCTTTAACCTTGGAATGCATGATCATTATGTATTCTTTCACTGGTGAGCTAACACTAGGTCAAGAGAGAAAAAATTTTGTTCATGCGCTTTGATTGAGTTGTCCTGAAGTTAAAGGAAAGTCAGTTTTTGAAATGAACTCCGTAATCTACAACTATAGTCGTTCGTGACTTATTTTCACGATATAGTTTTGCTGTTTTCTGCCTTTCTCCGGTATGTTCCCACAATAAAGGGAAACTGTCAGAGCCCAACTGTACAATGTTTTCCACTTAGAGGACATCTCAGTTCTAGATAAATAGCATGTTCCATAATAAACTATAACAGGTGTGAGTCGAACAACTCTTTGACGTCAGGTTCAATAGAATCTTCTTCTCCCGAGTGATCCTTTTTGTAGTTTTTATTAACAATATCTCTCGTTTCGTTCAAGACGTTGCCGGAGTGGACGGAATTATAAACGTCATTCTTGGTTTCTGATTTTATCATCTTTTTTCACGCAAGTAGTGCACCCGTTTCGTTTTTATAGTTTTATGACAATGAGGATTGCAGCTTATAGCTTTCACTTAAAAGTAATGGTAATGACGGACACTTGGGCGAATCATTAGTTCCTTCTATTCATTAGTTGATTTATGCGGTGTAGTTTAATGGGCAGTGTCTGAAATGGCCTTTCCTAAGTTTTTGTAATTCTTATACGTAAGCACTACAGGGCTTCTTCGAGGATAACTGTGACATCACCGCTTATTTTAAAAATATGCTGGTCTCAAAGCTGGGGTTCAATATATCTCTCTCCACGGGAGATGCGTTTCCTCACGTCTAAGACGACCATGGAAGAAATAAATGTAGTACTGTTAAACGGTTACTCTTAGATCTCACCACTTTTAACTTGAACTAAACACCTACAATTTTCTTTATAGGCTTATAGCTATGAAGATGCAGTTAATAACAGGATTGTTTGTAATTTCCTATATTTTGTTCTTTGAACAATATTGTTGGGACGCTGTTTGGAATTTCTTGGAAAGTGCTGTAAGATTTCGGTGTTCAGCGATTGGCTGCAATGTTTGGCGAAGCAGCAGAAGCAGCCGAATCTCAGCACCCGGCAGTGATTTGTCCAGCGGAAGAATTACCACCTGCTCAGGTAAAATAGCTTTTCCAATAAAAAGCAATTTGATGACTGCTCCAATAATTAGTAGTTTCGAAACAAATGTTGTCTGTGCAAGCTTTACGAGAAATTTCACTTGTTTTGAAATTTTCTCCTGTTCTAAACGATGGTGCTACGTGTGTTAGTGATTTAGATTTCACTAGACCTTATTTGACATGTATTCGCAAAATAATAGTACTTTTAATTCATTTTTTGAAGTAGTTGTAGCAGAAGTTTGAAAGTGGTAGCTACTATTTTCTCAAGTATATAAATATTTGGCGCGGATAACACAATGGTAGTGATGTCTGTCATCACTAGCATAGTGCTAGTTTCACTCCGGGTCAACGAAGCCTGTCATCCCACCGGGGTCGGGAAATTGGTGCCGGACTTGTCTGGGAAAGACCACTGTCTGCAGTCCAATTGGAAACGCTCCAGCCTGGCTATCTCTTGACTCCAGGGAAAATCGAATCGGCGAGCATTCTACGACATCCAAGATGAAACGAAAATTCTTAAGCAGTAACCGAAGCCACACTTAAAAGTTGGAAGATCTTCGTGGATAACGGATGCGAGGAAACGAATGGAATGAGAGAAGTGTGTGATCCACATAATAGACGTGAAGATGGGTCATATAAAAATAAAAAGCATATACATATATATATCGTGTATATATATATACATATGCATATAGTATATATACATGTGTATATATATATATATATATATAATGTACCGCAGAACGTTCAACTTTGTGTATTGCAGAACCGCGAATTACTGGATGATATCTATGACCTCGAATAGTACCTGTATGCTACCTTCTGTGTGTCACGAACCATCCCGGCTTGTTGTTTTTTCTTTCATTTAGTGTAAGGAGTTATTTATTCTGTGACAATTTTTATCCTTGTTACTGATGCTATTTTGTTTTGATTTCCTATTGTTAAACCAAGAGGAAATAGGACTTGTTATTGCTGATAAGATAATACTGGATGTGGTTTAAGACATGTTAATTTTGCTTCAATATGTATTTTCCCTTCAACTAGTTTTTCTCAGGTAATGACATTAGTATAGTGTTACTCGAAATCTCTACTCTGCTTTTGATTTTGTTATGTGATGAGCACAAAGTTTTCTAGCACAGTGACGTTTCCGGACCATGTGATGAGCTTGTGTACACTTTAAGCCTCTTCATATTAGTGTGGTCCTGATTTATCCATAGTTCGACTTGCTATGGTGTAGCTTGAATTTTGCTCTCTTCAAAAGTAACGTTAAAAGTGTAGAGAATACACGAAACGTGAACTAATTCCTTGGTATCAAGACTGTATCCTTGCCTAAAAAGGAAAAGATGCTTTGGCTTTTTGAGCCTTATCTGTTTAGATGCATCAAGTTTTGCTCATACCTCAGCATCCCTGTGGTTGTATTTCACACTACACCCTTCAATGAAGAAAGAGGAAGTGAGCAAGAAGTTAAAATCTTATTTGTTTCCATGGAAGGAAATTAGTGGTCTATCCATTTTGAGTTTCCAATTACATGATCGGGCGTGCTAGCTCTACAATTTTTGTGGATAGAAGCAACTCCATGGTCATGATTTATGCCTAATATTGTATTCTAAAAGTTAAAAATTGGATAAATATAGTACTCTGTATGAAATTGACAGGCAACGTAGCGACATATTATCGACATTGAGAAGTAACGTAGAAATCTGTAACCACAAAGCGGTAGTTGCTGGTGGCAAAGAAGTATAAATGCAATGAAGGACTAGGAGTATCTGAGAAAATTTGACTCTTATGTCAAAACTAACTGCTTTAACCCTATGATACACCATTTTGACTGAAAAAACGCTTAACCGGGGAAGTGTGTTGCAGGACATTATCATAGACAGTATCATATGAAAGGACATCGTAGGATATAACAGAGCTCTTTCACACTATCTTCAATAAAGATTCGAATGCCGGTGCTTCCAATTTTAGTATCTGCTGTATTATTACTGATTATCAACTACTTGCCTACACAACAAGCTTTTTAGCTATTCACAATCTAAGAAGTACTAAATAAGAACTCGTTCATGGCAGGTTTTCCAGACCCCATTGTGTATAAGAAGCTAAGATACTCGTTGAAATATGCCAGCTGTATATTTTACTCTAGAGATGAAATACTCGTTAAACTGATTGTCAGCTGGTGAATAACTACTTCGAAGTTTTTTTTGCGCTCTCCCCTACACTGTGTTATTTGCAAACAAACTTATTGGCGATCTACAAGAGGTTCAAAATGGTGTAAGGATCCAGCCAACTTTCAGGGAGGAACATATGGTCGTTAGAAATTTTTGTGTGTCATCTCGACGCTGAGACCAAATACGTTGTGACTTCCCTTCGTCAGTATTACTACAATAACTAGGTAGAAGACGTGATTAGAAAAGAATGACAGAAGTAGGAAAGATACTCAATTGAGGAAGTCAGGGGAGGAAAGAGGGGATATGTAGGCCGTTTGGACAGGTATATGCGGATGATAATGTTGGCTTATAGCATTTGTAACTAATTCGCAATCCTAACCATCGAATGTGAGCGTGCAGAAGGTTTGTGATGTCATCAAACTATAGGCAGAAAGAAAAAGGCTGTGGTACTCATGTGAAAATCCAAAAAAAAGTACAAGCTCGACTTAGATTGCATGTACCCCGAAGGAATAATGGAATTTAATAAGGTAATAACATTTATAATGGTGATTAGTATAATAATAATAATTTTCACTAGGCAAATTTCTGCATGATTCGAAAGACCGAGATGTTGACCAATTGAAAAGTGAACGGGGTATGAGGGCTCGACAAGGGAGTGGATGAAGCATTTCTGAGAAACGGCTACTGCTATTGATCGATGTCGACTATTTGGTCATCCGGTTGCATTTGTTTACAGTATTGAAACAATATCTTCTGATAGTATTCACGAGGTGTGAGCGTACGAGCTGTTGAGCACCTGGAAAAGTTGTTTGTTTAGTTGAAGAGATTACAGAAGTCAGATCAATGAAGGATATACTGGAAGGTTCTATCATTAATTGTGATCGAATTTATGCACGATAGATGCCAAATGAATTAAAGTATCGCTAGGAGAATTTGACGAACAAGGGATACCTGTGTTGCAGCTCTTTCATTGGTGAATCGCCAAGAGTAGTCTATAGCAATAAATTTAAGTACTCAGGATGCAACTTCTTCAAGCATAGTCAATTGTCTATGTGCATCGTTAGCTGTTCTCAAAATCACCTCTGTTAGCTGAACTCTCAATAGTATTCATAACCCAAACACAACCAGGTAGTACGTTTACCCTAGCAGTGGGATTTCTGGATTCTGAGCAGATGAAAAGCATTACTCTTCGTTTCGCAAATATATATTCCACCATTGTAATGTTCACTTCACAGGCGTCTTTTTCGGAGTTCAGGACACGTGATCCCTTCCGATAGATGAAGCGATTGACACCAAGTTCTACTGTCTTCGTCATGAATTATACGACTTTCTTTGTATTACTGTGAGCACGACAATAGAGATGTTGGTGCTAACAACGTCCTCACTACTTTATTACTTGAGGGCAACACTAAGGCGATCCAATGATACTGTCTTACTCTTACGCACGACTCGAACAAATTTAATTTACTGTCTAATAACCGTACATATAGTGTTCCACAAAGTCCCTTCCAAAGAGTTCGTACTTAGACAACTACATGAGCAGGCTGAAGTTTCTTTTCTACACGAACGTCCATCCTTTTTTTTGGCTTATTTAGCTCTAAGGTTCCAGAAAGTGATCCGAAATATTCAGATACACGTATTCAGATGCACTTCCATAAGGCCGCTGAGCATGTAAATTTAGTTGAGAAATGTCATAGGTAACAAATTCTTGTTGTATGATAAGACGATTCAGAGAAATAATTAGTAATAGTGCGTTCACGCTCCTGTAGATGGCTTCCTAGTATGTGCCAGTTAAGTGAGAGTGTTCAAACTTTTGTGTGAAATGAAAGAAATGCCTGAGCCTATACCTGCTAGTGTTCAGATCGAGGCTTTCCATACTCGCTAACACCCGATCTGAAGCGAACGAGAGCGTCCTTGGATGCTCTATCCACTTAAAGTAGTAAATGTCGGGTGGTACGTAGGGACGACCGGTGATCCAGTTCAAATCTGGCTGACGACCATTTATAAGGCAGTCCAAGAGATACTCCTGAAATAGAACCTTCGATGACCTCACTGCACGCAAAAGCAGCATTGTTAATGGATACTGGCTGGTTTTAGTAATCTGAAGAATCATGTCCGATCATAGTTGATGAAGTTGAGGTCAAAAATTCTTCATCATACGTAAACATTGGGCGCGTGTAGCGCAGTGGTCAGAGTCTCCCTGCAATACACATGGGATCAATCCCTGTGCCCCATGCTTTCCAAAAATTCCATCTCTCCGAGGTCCGCAAATTGGTACCACACTTGTCCGAGAGGATAACAGCACTGGCTCGATACATCGGTAGGCCACCATGAGTCAATGTAAAGGTAAGATATGCATTATATCACCTTCACCGATGCTTGATGAAGTTGAATGCATGGCGCATCTCTCAGAGATTGATCAACGCCATGAGCTTTATTCATCTAGCATTATGTAGATATTATTCAGAAATGACACTGACGCACTTCCAACCTCAATTGCATTTAACCATTTCTCACCATATTTTGTTTAAAGGAAGAAATTGGCACTTATCGATTGCAATGTAGGGTAGTTTACTTCTACTTATCTTTTAGATCTATGAATTTTTGAAAGAGCATATTTGGAAGGAGTCACTTATTTGCTCTTAGCCTTACTCTTGTTATTCAAGACGCGAAAGGTCACAATAAACCTAGCTAGCTTGACAATCCAACAAGATATTATTACTGCCGAGGTTAAATGACGGTCAGTTTTAAAATTATTGTTTTAGAACTCCCTATATGAAAACTATATTCTTCCCATAGAATTTTCGTGAAATAGTTTAGATAGTGGCAGATTACCGGGTCGGTGATCCTTCTGTTCTGCGGCATGCCATCACTGAGACCTATCCGTTAGGGGGACCTATCCGCAAGTTGGTGTTAAAAAGCACAACTTTCGACTGTTCTGTTCATGTTCTGTGCCCTTTTCCTAACTTTTCGATGTTCTTAGAAGCAGCTCACTAAACGACTCACTTCCGCCTGTTTAATTCCGAGGCTAGCTTATTCATTATGCTGACTTCGAAATCGACCAGCATTGAGTTCACGTGGCTAATGCATGATGTTGCGGGAACGATGTTACCGGAAAAGTGGTAATGGTGATGCAGCAAAACACCCACCTCAAAACCATGTTATTTCATTGTAGTTCTCACGGAACCTCCCGAAAATAGTGCTGCATACCTCTGCCTACATATCTCTTTGTCGCTCATCTTTCGTTACGCCAGTGATAATGTGGTTATAGAATAATGAAATGTCGACGGTAAAGTTACCTAGTAGGAAGTATCTTCTTTTATTGGGCAGGAACGCTCTGGTGACCAAGAGTTTCTATTACTGCTTTTATTTCATTTGAGTTGAAGACGCTGTTCTCAGTTGATGAAACAGACGAAGTAGCACCGATACTATAGCAATACTTCAATGAATTCTGTTAATGTGTGGATGAGATCCAGCATTTTTAAAGATTTTTGAAACATTGATTTTCCGCATTTTTTCCTAATTTTCTATAAATGATATTGTGGATAACTCCAGTTAAAAGGTGGCATATGACAGATGAAGAGCAGCGATCAGAATGGAAGGTGAATGCCGATATCAAATGGGCTTTTCTGCTCAGCAGGACGTACCGGTTTTCTACAAACAGAAATATTCAATGATGACCAGTTGCACGTAAAAGCTGAGCCACTGTGTTAATGATGAATGGCGGTACGTCTCTAAGATCGGGTCATTTCATGTGTGGATGTATATTGCACATTTCCCCACCAAGAGGAAAGCGTGTCAGACTGCGGTGAGGAGGACTGTTGGCCGACAAACTTCGGCTGTGACTATGTGGAGCTCGTAATAGAGGCCGTGGTTCCCCATTTCCATTGTCACTGTAGATGCAATAGATATTTTATAGCAACGTATACGAGCGATAATGCATAGTTTTTAATTTGTATATTAACAATGTGCGGTGCAGAAGCTCTTTCGAATCTCTGCAACTGTTGTATTAAATTGATGATTTGATTGGACAACAGTTAAATTCCAATAGGAAGTTCTAATTGGAAAATTGATGAATTTCAAGCTCTCTTTTTTTCGCACTATCGCGATGCTGAATAAGCCTAAAGGACTTCTCACCAAAGATGTGGCGATCAGATTACCTTCCAAAATTATGCTAAAGAAATGAGTAAATCCCAAATCGCAACAGTTTTGAAGTTTCACTTCTTGGAATTTGTGGCCGTCTTCCTTTTCTCCAAAAAAAGAAAAACGAAGAAGACGATGGACCGATTCCGTGCGGAGCCTCCAGACAACAGTAGTTTCTGTTATTTATACAAAGCCCCAGATTTACTGTGATTTCGTTTACGTAATTACAACACTGGCCACTGACAGTCTCCCACGTTTAGTGTTAAGATGAGAGCGTCTAGAATTTTGAATCATTATGAAGCTTTCTGGTTGCCATGATCCCAGCTAACTTCTTATCTCGTTCATTCCATTAGAAACTTTAAGTTTGGATGCGGCGTTCTTCAGAAGTTCTGCAGACATATGAAATCGCTAATGGTGACTTTGTAGAAAGCACTATCTTTCCTCCATAAGCTTCCCCATGCCCGTACAAAATGAATGAACCTCTGTCGGTGGATTGTCGTTTTAAGGTTGACAATGGGAAGGACGTAGATGACGGAGATTGTCAAAACCGGAATTGACTCACATGTTTTCAAGGGAAGACGTCCGATTTGATTCATAGGTTGTTCAAAGGAATCGATGTCTGTTGCCATGATGGTCTTGGTAAGAATACCGAAAACGCTAATAGTGCTTATAAATGGTCATACTTCAGGTAGTTGAGCCAATTTGTTTAACTGTTCCGGTGTTAAACCGTAGTTCTTCTGAAGGAATGCCACGTAGCCGAATACTTCACCCAAATGTACAACCTAAAATAATGTGATTATGAGACAGACATTTAAAAACGATGTTGTAGAAAACTTCTTCATTTTGCGATAGAAATTGTAGGAAGTTTTTAATGTCGTATATTTGGATAATTGGATTACTGGATGACCCGTCTTCATTGGTTGTGCAGATAAGCAGTCGACGCCCTTGTGGATCAGAGGGAGATTTGCCACCACGCGACTAATTTGATACCAGGACAGTGATGGATCCTGGTACTGGTTTACTCTTAACTAGGCTTCCTGGTGGAAACGCCAGACTCCTTCTCAGCTTGGGAGGCTCTATCGGAGAGATAAATTTTTCCGGCTGCACAACTTAGCCCGACACCCAGGAACACCTCCCAGCCACGATCAGCCGGTAAACCGTTGGGAGGCCGCATAGCAATATAAAATATCTATTATGTATAAGAGAAACTGTTTTAAGACAAAGCCTTCCAGGCCTTCACAATACCGTCTGACGTGCTAACATTTGCAGATAGACGGTGAATGTAGACTTTATGGATAAGCAGCACATCCGAGTTCAGCGCGAATGCAAAATTGCAATAGATATAATGGCGAATGGTCATGAATAAACAGCGAATTCGCACCTTTCCGCCGATTGTCATAAAGGATCTGCCGAGACTTCGTCCATAGAAATGAATGTCGCGAATGTATTCGCTCCCGACAAGATCTTAAAGTAAACAGTACTGACTAGCATCTCAACAAACAATTTGAAGTGTTAGATAGATAAATCTATTTAACCTAAAACAAAAAGAACTTTACACTAGAATTGTATTTGTTATTTTATTCATCTCTTTTACTGCCATTTCTATGAACAAATAGTTGAACAAGAACTGGACAATGGTAATAATCCTAGTAATCAATAAAAAAAATTTTTGCAGCACTTAAAATTTAAGTCTAAGAATTTACAAGAATATACAAGATAGTGTAAAGACGGTATACGGATTGAAAAACAAGTCTACAGCAGTGTCCAATTTATCACTTAAGTTTCCTCGACAATAAGCTTTCTAGTCATCCATTCAAATCGCCAAAAGACCGTAGATCTCTCGTCGTTGGGTCTCTCATGAGCGTCGAGTGCTTATCCCACAGCATCGTCATTAAGGTTTTATGGAAGTTGTTCTTCGAAAATCAGAATTCCGTAAAAGTCTAGTCCAGAAGTCCGCATCCATGACCAGATTTATTTCCGCGGGTCGGACAGCAAGACGTAAGGAGTAAATCCTCCGTGGGAGTAAATCCTATGGAAGATGGTTGTCGTAAATTATTAAGAACAATTGTTTCTATTTATTTTGAGACCCGTGACAAAACTAATTTAATTAGCAATGAAGCAGTCACAGTAGTTGTACTTCGAATCCCTAATTTTGATGCGAACATTGCAACAGAAAAGGAAAGTCCTTGCGCGGCAGAATTAAAGTTCCCGCTTTTAAATACGATGTTGCCTAGTAGTGTAGTTCACTCAGACTGACCATATGCCTTCAAGATTGACATGGAATCATCTGATAAAGATTGTACAAACCAAATTAAATCATAGTCTTCCTTAAACAAAAAAAAATTGCAACTGAACTAGACAAGAAAGCCCACCAACACAAGCTGAATATAAGCCATCGCCGCCTAGTACTAACGAATCCTTAAATATTGAAGGAAACATATATGAATTAAAAAACTTAATAAATGATGAACGGTGACAAGTTCTTCATTGGGAAAAATCGCAACGGAAACAAGACCGAGTGATTGATGGGTACGAAACATTGATCCTTTGACGAAAAGAAAAAAAATGCGGTGGGTTTTTTCGAGAAGTTGTTTATCATGTAATTACCAAAGAGTCTTTCGTCTTTTTGTAAGTGCCATTGAAGCGTTTAGCCTAGTAGATTGTATATCAGTATACCCTTCCAGGCTCTGAAGAAGGCGATACTGCCGAGACGTCAGCTAGTGTTGTATTGTATTGTGTTTTTTATGGAAGTAAATGTATGCTGTTTAAAAACTTCGCGATTGCTGAACAAGAAAACGACACATTCATATTCCAATGCCGAGGTTAAGAGAAAGTCGATCCTGGAAACTATTGATCCTTTCGTTTCAAAGGATGTTTGAAGTTGAAAAAAAAAATTGAAATATTGTAAGCAACAGTAAGAAGACAGGAGTCGAAGATATGCTATCATGTTTCTCAAGGACACCAATTTCTGCGGTCTATTTAGGTCGATCAAGAAAGGAAAAGAAGGAATTTTTGACAAAGGTAGGAAAATTTCCATGAATGCATTTTACGTTCATATTTTATATTACGTCTTTAGACTAATGCGGAAGAACTCTGCAATGATACAAGTTGCAGTGCAATTTACCACACTTGTAGCAGGAAATGGTCTCCCTCCAGTGGAGGACCTTGAGCCAAGTCCCTCGTTTTTCGAAAGAATACGATAAGATGCGAAAATCAGGATGAAGGCACGGTGGAAAACCACCACACCGCTCAAATTGGCTACCGCCACCCCATGACTTGATAATCAACGGCTGGAATGGGAAGCAAAGGATATTTTCGTTGTCCACTGGATCGTTGTACCGTGATGGGTCCCGATTGTGTTACGACAATGCCATAGTCTTATGAAGAACTACCAAAACAGAGAGAGAGTGCTCAATAAGACTGTATTTGAGGAACGACTGTGAAGGATGGAGACAAACGGAAGAAGTATTAAGCCCGATCCAAAGTAAGGAGACCATTTATTTTCCGAAACATCTTATCGTATAGTTAATTCCATGTCCCAACTTACGAATTCTGTGTCTAGCTGATAGTAATTTTCGTTACCTAAATTTTTAAAATCAGAGGATAGAAGGACTTCTGGAGATGAGAGGGCAGAACAAAACTTTAATGGCTTTATAACAAGAGCTGAAACAGTAAGCAAGAGCTTCATAATGTTTGCTAAAATCAGGAATTGACAGCTCAACTACAGCAAAAAATGTTGGTGCCAAGTGGGTACAACAGTGTGAACAAAAAGTTGCACCACTTAGCAAATGAGAACAAAGCAGCGAAAAGTGATAGATTTGATTAAATTAAGTTCGTTTAAAAGACTAAATAAACTAATACTAGATTCAAGGACGTACAAAATCCAACTGAAGTTAGGCATTGAAACACTTTCTAAACAAGATGAATTCATAACGTAAAAGGGAAACCTACCAATACACATCGTTGTGATTATGAGACCGAGTATGATATATGCTAGAGTGGCAGGAAAAAAGTCGACATTCAATGGAACGATATCTCCGAATCCTGAAATTACCAACATAGTGAGGCGAAGCGACGATACGATATTGTAAGCCCATCCAGACCGGACTACACACACCAACACCAGAAATATGCATATAGCCCGTTTGCGAGTGCACCTAGTTTGCATGATGGCGCATGGCACTAAACCAAGTTTTACGCCGCACGCAGATTGCATTGACCCCAATGCAAACAACTCGTTGTTCTCGTCAGAACAGACCACACCCCTTACGTGTTTTTCGCCTTAAAAACTGGGTTTTCTGGAGAACTGTTCTAGCTCATTTATACAGCTTTTTATGTTCTAGGCATGTTCCTCTTCTATGTATATATTCCAACCATGTTGATGAAAGATTTACAAGTTTTGTGTTTAACTTTTTATTTACCGCCAATTATTTTTTTTATCGAATGGTATTATGTGAAATGCTACCACAATGGTGCTGAGATATTTGCAAAACTCCGGATCGCAAGTGTTTGCGGTGGGCATCGAACTCGCTATTACCCCTGTCGTGGCTAACGTGTTCACCACCGCACCATGGGAGTCCTTCCTTTCTCTCAGCCGTGTTTTAATCTTTAGGTGCTGTCAGAAATCACCTGTCAACGGGATTTATCTTGGGACCACAAATCGACATTGAGCTCGATTAGTCTGGCCCATCATCCAACACGATCAGTGCTTGACTGCCGGTCGTACGCCATATGTTGAGTACACCCCCGACATTTTTATATGGTGCACGTTACAGTCTACATTTAAGGACGTGGTGTCGAGGATCTGCAGTGCTTCCGAAGATGCACTTCGTGAAATCACACTGACGAGCGCACAATCAGCATGCCTGCGTCGGAATACCTTTGCACTTTGCTCAACGAAACAGGCTCTGGTTAGTAGTAGATATCAATTTGCCCTCACACGGTCCTGATGCGTGGGAAACAAACTCGTGAGAAAACAGTTTTTGCGAACAATTCTCCAATTACACTTAATAGAGCACTTGTGGTGCTGATGTTATTGATATAATACAGAAGAAGAACAGAAAGACACTGCGTCAAGACTGGTCGAAAGCTAAAGCATTGAAACAAATCCACACATTCCAGTCTGCCATTTCAAATTTGCACCATATATCGGGCAGTAATCATCTCTGGAAGCGATCAGATTGCTATTGATTCTAAGCACAATTAATCGCAAATGCAATCAATGTAAAGCGTGGGAAGTCTCGATCACTGATAGTAAAATAACATCTATAGCTATGCACTATCAATTCATAACATTTGAAAATAAGGAAAAAGATAAAGGAGCACATTTTACACCGATTTTTGCTATTCTGGGCACAATCCGAATCGATATCGGTCGATAAACAATGACTTACCAATAGTTGTCACCGTGACGAAGCAGAAGTAAAAGGCGTCAAAAAACGACCACGATTCCCAATATCGTATGAAGTAGGCACCACCAGCCACGTACCCTACAAGTACATCATTCCGACACTCATAAACAAAAGAATTTTTTGTGAACAGCCTGCCTTCCTAGCAAGTAAGCAGCTAAAGAACCCTGAAGACAACGAAACCCGTTGGAAGCCACATTAGTCACTGTGAAACAAACGCAGTATAAGCCATCTCCTGCCGCTTCATCAAAAATACTGTTGTTGATGAATTTATTTGAAAACCGGCCCTAGAAACTACATTCTCGTTAGCATTACCGTTGACGATATTTATTGTTATGATATCAGAAGCATCACTGTCATCACTTTGCTGTTTACCATTACTACTTACTAGCAGCTTATATAACAAAAGAATAAATCTTTTGGCGCTGATCAATCCATGAGATAAGCTATGCATTCGACTTCATTAGGAATCGTTGAAGGTGAATAAATGCATAACTGGCCTTTACACAGTGCTGCTATCCTCCGTCTAGACAAGCCTGGCACGAATGTGCTGACCACGGAGGGATATAGAGCTGGGTGAGCCTGGGTGGGGGAACGATCTCATGTATATTGAAGGGCGCCTCCGACCACTGCATTACACGCAACTTGTATAAGAAGGGGAATAAACGTCAATTTACTGTCTAGAAGTGGACTAATAGGCGCCCGCCACTAAACAATCGGCACAAATTAGAAGCCAACTGCTTCCAAGGTTTGAATGAGCACACGGCTTGACAGCGTGAGTTGCCCCAACACCAACCGTCCACGAATATACCCAATTCATTATTTATTAACCAGGAGAATTTCCTCAAGTTACTATTTACGACTTTAACATTTAGACAAACCCAAAAACAACACCTGTAAAACTTCACGTCCTGACCCACTTTATGAAATGAAACAAATAGGATGAAAACTTGTCTGAGGCTACCATGCAGAGTAAAAACACAAGCAGTAATTGAAACTTCCAGAACTCCTCTCCATGTTTAGCCTGGTAGTCTTCCAGTGCGAAGTAACAAGTAACGAAATGTACTACCACAGCATTGTGAATTAGAGTTCCTACCAAACTGGTATCATTGTCGTCCCAAAGTACAAAATCACTACAATTTGTGATTTATTCACTGTTTTGAATGACTTTTACGACCATAGCGTTTCCAACGGTATCGGTGAGTTATAAAACCGGCTCACCCAACGCCTCCACTATTTTACTAAAAAGTAAAGATTCTAAAGGCTATAAGACAATATCTATCACCAGAAACTGTTAAGATGGGAATGTGGACTAGCACGAGTAACATACAATCCATAGTTCATACTTCCGAGAGTTTATAGATAAGTGACAGAAGAAGCTCAGTAGAGAACACCACTCCTTGCTGACGCGTCAGTTCAGAGGAAAAAACAGCATTTGCCACCGCCCAAGCTTGCATATTACATCAAGATTACTTCAGAAGTACAAAAGGAACAATCGCCGCAAAAGGTAAGGATAAAAGTTATCCATAACTTCCATCCCTTTCAGTTCGACCCCACTTGCCTACACACCACAGCAGCAGTGAGATGTGTCGTCCTAACGGCTTTTTTTGTTACCATGTCTGCCATGCGTTCTTGTTATAAGAATCGAACTGCGTATGATATTTACGAAGCACTGAAGGAGGAGAACCGAAAAAAGCAAATAGACTTTCAAAAACGACTCAGCACGAGGAGCAACACCCACACAACCACGTTAGTCAGCGGAGTAAAATGTCGTTATAAGGTGCTTATAACACATTTTCAAATGCTACACAAATCAGCCGAAACAGAAGTGATCACGGAAATATTTGAAAACCAGAGCACCTCTGCTCGGTGAACAAAGAACTTTCGAGGCTACTGAGTCAATGCCTCCCAGTTACACAACGACGTTACCATTCTTTTAAAAAAATGTTCAGAACTCGAGTAGCACATTACCAAAGTTATACAGCATAATTTTCAACAACGTCAAGTGAAAATCGTGGTGCTATACCACTGATGAGAATTCGTTAGGCAGAGGAACTTTCTTCGCTTCGTTAACCTTTTATTTACCGCCCACGGTAATTTTTCACGGTAGGATAAATGTAAAGCACTATTTGACGATAAAAAAGAATGAAGATCTCGACGTTGATCAATTCCTGAGGGATGCGCCATGAATTTGAATTCATTAAGCATCGTTTGGCGGCGATTGAATATCTGTCCTTTACAATGAACCGCAGTGGCCTAGCGATGTATCGAGCCAGTGTTGCTGTCCTCGCAGACAACTGTAGTACCAATTTTCTGAACCCGGAGGGATGGAAGGCTTAGTAGGCCATGGGGGCGGAGATCGATTCCAAGTGTGTGTTGCAGGGCGCCTACGACCACTGCGCCGCACGCACCCTTAGTATGTGACGAATGAAAAAAAATATTAAAAAGATTTAAAACTGTTCATCATATGCGTGATAGAGTGAGAGTTAAGATACGATCGAAATTCATAAGTAGTATCAGAGGTGCATGGGAACAAAAAGTCTGTAAACCTACTTTAGGAGTTTGGAAGTTTCTCAGTCGATGAAACGAAACAAAAAACGTCACCTCTATTTAGGTGTTGCGTAAGATTAAGATACATGAGGAAGCTGTAAATTTCTAAAATCGGATACAAATATGTACATCGGTATGAAGGAATAATAAAGAATGGGAAAACTGGAACAAGAGTAGAGGCGTTGAGGAAGACAAATGAAGAGGAATGGACTCAGTCCTCTGCTTCAGACAGACAACAGATGCCCATTGGACTTTGTTTCAAAAACGTTACCGCTCAATTGAAATTTCTTGAGGAATAAGTTACAAGACAAAGTTATAATCACAATCTTAATTCTTTTATTTACTACCTTTTTCTTCTTAATGGCAGGTTATGTTTCGAATTATAACTCGTATGAAATGCTGAGATATTTGCAAAACTCCGGACCACAGGTGTTTGCAGTGGAGAACGAACACGCGCTGTTGTCCTTACCGGGGAGCAGCGCACTTCACCACTACACCATCCGGGCCCTTCGCTTCGCATGCCTCTCAGCTAGCTCTATCGATCTTTTGCCATCAGCAATCACCCGTCAACGGTATTGATCTGGAGAGTCCAAATCGGCATTGAACACAGTTAAGCTGAGGCTGTAGCTATAATCACAATCTTAACCTTTTTATTTACTCGATAGATGGTAAAAGATCGAAAGAACTAGCTGAGAGACAGGCGAAACGAGGAACACGCATGGTGTGGTGGTGAACGCGCTACTTCCCAGAAAGGACAATAGCGCGTTCGTTCGCCACCGCAGACACCTGCGGTCCGGAGTTTTGCAAATATCTCAGCATTATAAAGGTTGTATTTGGCAACATACCCTGCCATTAAAAGAATAGGCAGTAAATAAAAAGGTTAAGACAGTTGGCAGTATTTTCATGCACAAGCAATTTGCTACGAACAGTTTAAGTTTTGTCGTGTTAGAAAGGTGAACCAAACCTGTGTAATATAAGAAGCAACTATGATAGTAGAAGTGGTCATGTGTCACAGCGGTGCTATGATGAATACCCCATGTGCCGTTTACCCGTCCGAGGTACAATGTGAGGAGCGTATGGGATCTGAGCGGAACCCATTTTCGCAGGAGGTATACCAGTGTGCCAGTCATTGGGTGGGACTGGGTTCGTGAGACGATGTGTGGCGAGTGGCGCGGGTGAGAAAGGTACTGATAGGGTCTTCCTGCAACGTCGTATTACAACACGTATATAAAGTGTTCGTGGAATATTTTTTGGAATTTAAGCAACAGGGTTCAATGCTCGTTCTCCCGTTGCGGTCCACTGTCAGACCACGTCTAATTTTAACTCGGCTTAAAACGCTAGCGAATTATCAACAGAACAAGTATTCAGGATTGTTTTCAAAGAATATGTCGTATGAAACCAAACCATGAACGCCCACGCATTGTTGGCACCCAGTCCTTAGAAATAATCTGTAATATTTTGACAACTTTGCCTATATACCGCTGCAAGTATCCTTAATGGATAACTATCTTAAATGTAACTCAGAGGACCGACTTTTTATAAACCTAAGCTTAAATAGTTGGTATATTTATTTATATGATCTTATAAACTGACCTTGTTGAGCTGATGCGAAGTTGGTACAGGTTTTCGTTGTCGTTGTTGTTGGTGTTGTTGGTCGATGGTTGACGGTTCGGCGATTTTGCTTTCCTCAGAACCACGCTACTACGAGTGAGACGACAACGAAAAAATATACCAACCTCGCATCAGCTCAACAAGAACAGTTTATAAGACCATATAAATAAATATGTCTTAAATGTAGGCGAAGGGTTTCGAAGTGTGGTATTTCAGTATTAAAACACACCAATCGTGGCAATAGACTTCTTCCAAAAAGCCGTTTTTGAATTCCTAACTATAGCGAACAGTATTGTATACCGACTTTCATTTATCCTCGGTGTGAAAGGTCAATTTGCCTTATTTCATTGATAAGCTAACACGAATTTGTTACTGCATGCTAGCTTATCAGTGAAATAAGGTACATTGTAGAGAATAACTTTTTCTGGTGCTGGCATATTGATATCCATTCAGTAAGCCACTAAGTGAGTGAAAAATCTGACAAGTTTTCAGTGGTGAAGTAAGCCACTGAAAGCAAAATGCATTGAAATCAACGCGTATCGTCCACTCCGTGACTTAGCGGGAATTGAGAACAACATGCGTCATTCGTTGTGAGGTAAAGTCACCTAACATGCAACATATGACACTTAATTTTACGTGGTTTTCACGTAACACGACGCCTACCTGTACTGGCATGTCACGAACAGTCCTGATTTTTAGGAAATAGACGGTATCTGTTGATGAGAAGAGAACACAAGTGTTAAGATCACCACAGAGTTATAAAGAATACTTCTATCTATCGCTCCAAGGACACAAATGTTACTAATCCCGTTGACGGGTGATTGCTGATGGCAAAAAGATCGATAGAGCTAGCTGAGAGGCATGCGAAGCGAAGGGCCCGGATGGTGTAGTGGTGAAGTGCGCTGCTCCCCGGTGAGGACAACAGCGCGTGTTCGTTCTCCACTGCATACACCTGTGGTCCGGAGTTTTGCAAATATCTCAGCATTTCATACAAATGTTACTGTTCACCACATGTTACTGTGATTCGCCAGCGAACAACATTGCTATCAACATGCGGAAGCTGATTTCCTAATTTGTTCTGTTTCAATATATTCTTATGTAAACCCATCTATACGGATTTCTTACAGCCATTGAGATTAATGTAACAATCAAGTGTAAACTCAAAACAGAACCTTAGATTTGTGGCACGACGAGGCCGTAAAGTAGCTTTCTTTAAGAGTTGGNCCCGGATGGTGTAGTGGTGAAGTGCGCTGCTCCCCGGTGAGGACAACAGCGCGTGTTCGTTCTCCACTG